ATCCATATACCCCAAATGCATTCCTTTAGAAATTGCTATTTTTGTAACATAACTCTCTGGCATTCTCTTCAGAAATCTAGAATTATGCTCACTAGAACATGTTTCTGACCTCATCTTTTTTTTTTGAGACAAGAGTCTCACGTGGCCTCAGTAAAGTGTTGTGGCATCACAGCTCACAGCAACCTCCAACTCCTGGGCTTAAGCAATGCTCTTGCCTTAGCCTCCCAAGTAGCTGGGACTATAGGTGCCCACCACAATACCCGGTTATTTTTTTGTTGCAGTTGTCATTGTTGTTTAGCTGGCCTAGGCCAGGTTTGAACCTGCCAACCTTGCTGTATGTGACTGGCACTGTAACCACTGTGCTACTGGAGCCAAGCCTGACCTCATTTTTAATCAAAGTCATTCACTGGTATAATACAACATAGAATTATCACTTGTAAAACAAAATTTTTCAACAAAACAACAAAATATATACACAAAAATATGCATACACAGTGAATATTTCCTATGTAATTATAGTATGTTAATCAGAGTTGGTTTTCAATGTCAATACCAGTCCTTTTACCTCCTCTGGGTCTACAGGTGGATCAGGTCATATTCCTGTCTACATTCCTAGGATGGATGAGGGAGGATATCAGAAATTTAATATTCATTTGAAGTACTATTTATCTATAAATAATCATCTCACTCACCTCCCTTCCCCTAACCACTCATCTAACTACTTATAGGTCTGGAAGTGAGGAAGTAAAAGAAAGCACAGGAGGAGTAAAATTGTGATCTGCTTAAAGGCTTATATGGTGACTTCCTCTTTGTTTTGTGATAAATACCACATCACAAATTTATCATTTCCTTTTTAGTGGTGCTACCCACATGACTGTCTTGTTGTAGAGTTGCTGCTGATCTTGCTAGTCTGTTTTACACTGAAGTGGGGAAGGGAGAGGACAAGAAGGTGGGGTGTGCATTCTGGTCCCTTTACAGGGCATTTATACACCTTAAATACAGAAGGATGATATTCCCTAATATTTAAATTGCCTTTTCTTCTGTGTAAAAAATCCCAAGTATGTTTGTCTACATACTGACTTACTTAGGAAACTTTGTTTTGTCCCATTAATTAAAACTGTTACATGTTAAGATAATCAACATAAGTGAATTATATCAATGCTATCTTCTTTGTTATTTTCTGAAATTAATTTTTTTGTTTTGAGACAGAGTCTCACTATGTCACCCTTGGTAGCATGGTGTCACAGCTCACAACAGCCTCAAATTCCTGGGCTTCTCTTGCCTCAGCCTCCCAAGTAGCTGGGACTACAGGCACCCACCACAACGTCCGGCTATTTTTTGGTTGCATTTGTCATTGTTAGTTAGCAGGCCCAGCTGGGCTTGAGCCCACCAAACTGGATGTATGTGGCTTTGGGCACTGAGCCAGCTGAAATTAATTTTATATGTATTTCTGTGGCAGAGAAGATTCATGATGAAAGTTAAAATCATGATTCTGTCGTATTCTCTTTTGCCCTCATTATGACCAGATATAGTCTGTATCTATAGCTTGGATCTTTCTTTTTTCTTTCTTACTTTGTTGCCCTTGGTAGAGTACCATGGCATCACAGCTCACAGCAACCTCCAACTCTTGGGCTTAGGCGATTCTCTTGCCTCAGCTTCCAGAGTAGCTGGGACTACAGGCTCCCGCCACAATGCCCAGCTATTTTTTTGTTGCTGTTTGGCTGGGGCCAGGTTTGAAGCCACCACCCTTGGTATATGGGGCTGGCACTCTACCCACTGAGCCACAGACACCTCCTTATAGCTTGGATCTTAACTATATAGACAATGTGGAACAGAGCACAGTCTTCTCACAAGGATAATGTCTAACATAAACAAAAAAAATAAAATACCTTTGTTGTACACAACTAAGATTTCAAGACTATTACAGCAATATGCTCTGGTACCAGGGTCAGTGCTCCTAAATACCACCCTATGCACAATCTCTGATCAAGCCCTGTAAAGTGAGATAGGACAATGTTGATTATCCAGCTGAACTTATCCACACAGAATCCTTGAATAAATGAAACAAAAAGGGATGATTTAGGGATAGAAAAATACATCCAAATGAAGTACATCCAAATGACCCCAAAGGGTCATTTGTAATCCACTCACTGATAGAGTCTGATAAAATGGTGTCTACAATTAAAGGGTATAAGTAGTGAGTAGCAGCCTTTCACAGGTTAAAGGAAAAAAAAAGTGCTTAAAGATAAGCAGATGAACTCTTAATGTTAAATGAAAAATAACTATGAAAAGAATTATATTAAACTGCTATGTATATTAAAGACTTATTTACTAAAAGGAGAGGTGAGCAGCAAAGAATGTGTAGTAGCTTTAACTTACCTAACTTAGGCATGACAAGAGACTTATAGTAGCCAAAGTATCATTATAGGCTTTTAATGTTTAGTAGGATCAGACGGAAATTACATTTTAACTCAGAGTTAATTCCAAAATCCTGTTAACTGAATACTTTGACAAGCCAGTTAATAAGACCACTGACAGGGTGATTTAAGATCAATTGTTTTTATTGCAGTTTTTCATTTTACATGTTCTTCCCTAAAGAAATGCTGGTAAATTACATGGGAAAAATCTATATTTGTAACCGGGAAACAGATGGCTAACCCAATAATGTTGATGAAGTAGGTAGCCTACAATATAGAGAACATTTATTTTTAGTTAAACTATAGGTGTTCAAGAATTTTCTATTTGCAAACACTAGCTTGGTTAGCCACTGTGCAGAAAAGAGTTAAGACATCTTCAAAAAAATGAAGATTTTACAGCATTTGTAATAACTTGGATGGAGGTGGAACACATTATTCTTAGTGAAGCATCACAGGAATGGAGAAGTAAGAATCCTATGTATTCAACTTTGATACAAAGGCAATTAATGACAATGACATGGTGGGGCATGGGGGAAGGGGAAATCAGACTGAGGAGGAGCGAGGGGATGTGGGCAAAAAATGTATGTGTATATATATATATATAAAATAATGTTTAATTCTCATACAAACTGGATTTAATTTTGATTAATGTACATTACTTAAATATCAATTTTTAATCCAACATGTCAATATGTTGTTTATCATATTGCATCCTTATTCATCAGTGAAATATGTCTGTAATTTCCCCTTTATAATAATATATTTTTCCTAATTTTACTATCAGGGGTATCCAGACTAAGTAGAATGATTTTGAAGTATTTCTATTTCTACTGTCTATAAGACTTGGCATGATCTGGTTTTTTTTAGAAATTATTTTTTACTTTTATTTATATATATATTAGTTATCTTTTTTTAGACTTTGGTAAAAACATAACAAGGAAAAAAATTTGTTTGCTATTTGTATTTTGTCTTGTGTATTCTGTAACAAACAAGTAGTAAATGATTATGTATTAAAAAAAAGAAAAGAAAATAGTGACTAATTCTCACATAAATTGTATTTAAATTTGACAAAAGTACATTACTTAAACATTAAGTTTTAATTCAACATGTTAATACGTTGTTTATTATATTGCATCCTCATTTATAAATGAAATATGTTTGTAATTTCCCTTTTTTTTTTTTTTTTTTTTTTTACAGGTAGGCATAGGGCTTTTAATTTTAGAAAATAATTCAAGTCAATATCAATACATGTTAAGGAGAAAGAAGCTTCAATTTTCCAACATTTTGATACAAAACTTTTTTGAATACCATGTTTTAGACCTTTTGTGAGAAGAATTTAAGTCGTAAGAAACATGACATTCAAGTGATCTTACTTTGTCTTGTTAAAATGAGTCATAAGCCACATAATTCCAGTGGTACTGCCTCTTAAAATTTAAATTTGGAGCATATCCATGATATTCAAAATAAGTTCCAAAATTTACATTTATTTTGACCCTAGTTAGAAATAAATCCTAAATTTAGGATTGTTAAAAAATGTTATTTAACAAAGATAGGGGATTTAAATTTTGCTTTACAGGCGAGAGAAAATTACTTTTCCTAAGTTTTATGCACGCCCCACTTGTAATGAGCCCAGCTGCATCCTGAGTGTGTATGAATGTATACACATATACATACTAGGGACACCACAAAACTCTTCAAATGTGTTGTTTGAAATGGCTTATTCTTTAGTTTTGGAGGAACAGTGTAACACAGTCAGACAAAATTTCTCTTAATTTTTTGTTTATCATTATTCAAGTGTTATATTTCATCTGGGTCACTGACTCACGGGTCATTATGAAAGTTTAGAGATACACAAAAATCATGAAATGTAAAATCCACCTGGTTAGAAACAAATGAAGCCTTCCCAGCAACACTAATAAGCTGAGCAAGTTAAACTTGCACAGATAAATCAGAAAGGATGCTGTCAACTGTGTTTCTTGGATGTGAATAATGGATCTTAACAGTCTATCTCAAAACTTCTGTAGCGACCTACATATAATTCTGCAACAAAAATTCACTAGCAGTAAGCAGAAATGTTAGCTTAAACAGGCAATCAAGTTTAAATTATAGCATAAAAACAGAGCAGATTACACTTAAAAAGTGTCTTCTTCCATAGGAAATATTGTCTCATGACTGAAAATTGTGTGATTTGGTTCTTGGAACTCGGCTCTTGTTCTGAGGTGGTCCATATTACTGTGTAGCTCCATTGCAAATAATGGGAATGATGGATAGGAATAACCTCAGACTGCAGTGTAGCAAAAAAAAAAAAAAAAGAAGAAGAAGAAGAAAATAATGGGAAGGAAACAAATTCCCTCAGGCTTGAGGAGTTAGGTCTGTATTTCACTGGCTTGAGGAGGTGAAATTTCTTGACACAGATAAACGCAAAATGCCTCCAGAGCAGCTGCTGAAGCTCCCTCACAAGGGCTGAGTTTAGACAGTTCAACTTTGACCCTGGCTGGCTTTTCTTCCCTGCAAGTCGGTGTGCAAGCCGCAGAGCAGCACCACTGATGAGAATCCAGAGGCGAAGGACTAGAACACAGTGGAACTCCACCTTGGTGACATACAAGTGACTTCTGAAAGAAATATTTTGCTAAATCAAAGAAAAGTGGGTGAAAGGCACATGCTAGTAAATCTAGTCGGCTCCCATCACCTCGAATACCTGTGAACTCAGGGGGTCCAACAAAGATTCACACTGATTTGATGTAACATAAAAAGAAAACCTTAATGTTTTCAAGCACTTATGGCACTGATGTTGGGAAGTACTTAGAGTAGCTTAAATATTTAAAAGGCTAGGCAATTTAAAGTTCTGCTACAATGAATCAGGCAAGATTTTAACTTGAACTTCTCATATTTTATACATTATTCTTGTGTAGAGTACAGGGTGAGCAAATTAAGCAATTTCAATAAATATTAGAAATGTTATTTTGGAAATATAAAATGAGTAAAACCAGCTAATACAATAAAAACATGCACTAAACAGAGCTTTCTCTCATGAACATTTTTTGCCTTTTTCTTTAAACATTTCAATACTTAAATACATCTTCTTTCATTGACTTGCAGAAATTAAGCAAAAAGTGAAATATTGCCTAGCTGTAAGATACTAAATACCTCAGTGATAAAAGTTTAGAGCTGCCAAGTTATAACAAATTAAAAATAACAAATATAGTGAAATATGTTGCAAATTAATGTTAAAAAATACAGCCATCTGAGTTACAAAACAGTAACAAATTATACAATCCTACTAGGCTTCTGAAGTTGTCATTAGTTCATGGGAAATGTGAAGAACAGCAGAAATTCTGTTTAGCTTTTTATCCTTTCCGGGAGCTCCAGAGCTAAAGTTACAAAACCATGCCCAAGACCAACTGCATAGTGGCTATAGTCACAAATTCTATTTTTATCCAATGTTCAATCAACAAGGCTTTATTTACACTTCCAGGAAACAATTTGATATAATGTGTAGGTGCCAAAGACAGACAGTGCAGCACAGCCCTCCTTGGAGACAGCTCCCTGCCTACGCCTTGACAGTGACCCACAGGCAGCCCAGCAAGGTGCCGTACATCCACGTGTTCACGTACAGTTTCCTGCCAGTCTCAGTCATAAGCATGCCCGCAGTCAAACCACTTAAGATCAATACTGATGGTAAAGTCTTCTTGATACTTAATTTGGAATTAACACTTTCCCCAGGAAACTTGTTTCTTCTTTCTGGATCTGGTGAATCATAGAATTCTATAAGCATCTTATCTTTTATTTCAAAACGCTCATGAAGCCATCTTCTCATACATTCTTGCTGTTCTGGGACATCCTTTTTGTCTATACGATCAACGTGAATATGAACTTTTGGACATTCTTTGCAGAGAAATTCAGTCATGGAGGGGGGCTCTTTTCGCTGCCCTCTATCACCTTTCCCTTCATAAACCACTGTAACATCATAAACTGCATCTAAGTAATTCTTCATAGCATCAAAAGCAACATAAGTTGCCTTTATTCGTGGTGTCAGCACATATTTTAATACTGCAAGGCCTTGTTCAGCTGCAAATGCCTGACTAGTTGAAAGGATTTTTGTTTGTTCTGGATTATACCTCGTACCTTCTGGGAAAATCACAAGATACATGGGAGTTCCTGCATCCACGTAGCTCTGTAGTTTGTTTCTCATTTCTCTTTCATTAAATTTGGCACTTCGCTTTACATAGATTCCTCCATGCTGAGAAAAATAACAACCATACAAAGGAAGCCACTTTAACCCATCTTTCAGCACATAGCGCACATGTCCAAGAGCATCCTGCCTAGAGGCCAACATGTCGGCAATAATCCAGTCAACTGTGCTTTGATGATTTGCTAAATATATTACATTTTCTTTATTTTTTGGCAAATCTCCATATAGGAATATCTGGACCCCGGTGTAGTTCTCGAAGAAGAAGAGCACCATGTTCTGGTAGATGCGGTAGAGCCGGTCGTCCACCGCCTGGTAGAAACGCGCGGGCAGGAAGGCGGACAGCAGCCGCCAGACCCCCCAGGCCAGCACGTAGGTGGGCGCCGTGCCCAGGAGCACCATGCCCGGCAGCAGGTAGCGCATAGAGTACGTGTGGAGCACCAGGGACAGCAGCATCTTCCCGGCTCCGCGGCCGAGGCCGCCTGCGTTCCCCGCCCCGGGCCCTCAGGCGCGGCGAGCCGGCGGCCCCTCGCCGCCCGAGCCCCGGCAGCTGAGACGCCAAGCCCGCTGCCGGCTCCCGACCTCCGCCCCCGGCCGCATGGGCCGCGCCGCCGTCGCGAGACGAGCGAGCGAGTGCGGAGCTGTGCGCGGCTCGCGGCGGGAGGACAGGGGAAGTGGCGGCGCTCCGCGGCTCCGCAGCTCAGCAGCGCTCACGCCCCATGACCCTCCGTAATTTCCCTTTTACAATAATATATTTTCTCCAATTTTAATATCAGGTCTATCCAGATTAAGTAGAATGATTTTGAAGTATTTCTTTTTCTAGTGTCTAAAAGATTTGGTATGATCTGTTTTTTTGAAATTATCTTTTATTTATAAATATTAGTTGTCTATTTTTTTGAGATTTTGGAAAAAACAAAATAAGAAGTTAACCGATCAAAGTATTCTATAATAGACACACTTCTATCTGACAATGTGAATGTTACTTTCTTTGCATTATTACTATTATTATTGCTTAATAATTCATTGCAGCAATCATCTGATTTCTTTTCTGAATGTATTTATCTTCTTTCGTTCTTTATGAGGTTTTTGTTCTCAGTCCTTATGTTAAATATTATTATTGTCATTAAATTTAGCCTTTTAATTCTGAAAAAAAAAAAAAGAGTTAAGACATCATGCCTGAGAGTGCTATCCTAAACAAGATACCCTTGTAGGGATGGTGTTGGCTGGCTTCTGGAAACTTGGATTTCAAGAGGGTTCCAACCATTTCCAGACCTGATAAAAGTGGCTCACTGTGCAATTCAGTTTATGCTGAAATTCTGCCTTCCTTCTGGGAGTCTAGAATTTTCGTACATGATAGACAAAGGATAGCTACATGACCAGCCTGAGTGCTGAGTTTCTAGTGGACTTCCTTGGGTAGAAACATTACACACATGTTGCTGTATTTTTGTTGCTGGAGGAAGAGGAAGAGTATGTGCTCAGAGTGACACCTCATGGAAGGAAGAGAGCATAAGGAGGCTTGTGCATGGATTTCTCCAGATTCTGTTTATGTCTTTATCAGGTTTGGTAATTATACTATGTCTCTGCAATAAATCTTTACCATGTGTATCACCATATGCTGACTCCTGTGAGTTTTTCTAGTGAATCTCCAAATATGAAGAAGACTCTGACACAGCCACTTTCCACAACCATCCTAATTCTATAGACTTTACAAGGTTAATGTGTGTCATCAGAAAGTTGTGGAAAGACTTGTCATTTGGAGACTGTGCGGATTAGATAAATAAAACTCCAGATATATTTGCAGTCTGTGATTTCAATGCATCAATATGCAACAGACATTTTACATGTACGGATTGGAAGGAAATCAGGAAGGCAGTGGATACATACAACAGAAACAATAGTGCACTTTTAAAGAAAAATAATCACAAGTGTCATTGTTCCTTTAGCCTTGAGGCACAATTATTCTTTGTTCTGAGAATTGTGAGGGGAAAAAAATCTAAGAAGCCGTGCAAAGATCTCTTGTGGACTTTCAAAAATATCAACTGAGAGATAAAGGTAAAGATAGAGTGGGATCTTATTATTAATGAATGTCATCTTTCAAAATTAGGAAACATTATCTTTGTTACAATATCAGTGTATTCCGTCTGCTCTTCCTTTTAGTTGTTGGAGAGTTTTGAATATTTGTGAACAAAGGACAGAAAAATAATCACTGTGTATGTTTTGAAATTGAACTGAAAACAAGAGATCAGAGTGTTCATAGAGATCATCACATTAAAAGAAAATATTCCTGCTGTAAGATTGAATTAAAGTGCCAATTCCATAATAAATATATCACAAATTGCTACTGTAATACAATATAAAATGTGGGAAAACAATAACCCCATGTATCTCTTCTAAGAATCATTGTAATTTTTCTCATCCTTTAAAGTAATGTGACTTTTTAGAATGCATAAAATGCAATGTTATGACAGTGTTGAACACATTTCATGCAGTGAAATGCATGAAATGCATTCACTGTGAACACATTTCACAGTGTGAACACATTTCACAGTGTTTCTAGAAAATGAGTAGTGATTTAAGAAAGAGATTTAATCTCTTGAGAGTATGTCTCTGAATTATTTCCCTTTCCTCTTAGATTCATGAGGCATTTGTGCATCTGTGGCATCTCACCTCCTTGTTGTTCCTCTTGCCATCACTTACTATTTTAAAATTTACCTTAGTTTTTTTTCCTATAAGCCGAATGACTTATTAATGGAAAAGAAGTTAGAAGGTTGGCCTTAAGGGGAAATGCATTTTGGGGAAAAAAAAAAAAATTGTTAAGAGGATAGGATTCAAAGAAGAAATGTAGTAAGAGTGATGAATAGTTTGAGGACTATAGATTTTTATCACTAGTATGAAGTTACTCTAAATATAATAATAAGCTTATTAAGATGATCTGTTATTAAAGTAGAAGTGCTATGGCAAATACTTACGCCTGTCAAATAATGTTAATATTGTCATAAAAATCGTTGTTTTCAATACTCTCAGTCCACTTTGAATATATTAATCATATATAATTAACACATTTTTGTTTCTGTTACACTCCTTATAATAAAGATGCGTGAACTTGGCTTTACAAAATTTTAAAACTTTAAACTCCTTTAAGAAAGAGAAGTGAATCCAGTCCTCTTTTCTTATATTTTTATCTTTACACCCTCAGACTCTTTTTCAATGCATACTTCATAATTGGAATTTGAAAGGAAAAAGGTAGGAAGTGATGGAGATACTTCTTTGGTTGCTATGTTATAAAAAATTTATCTTTACTTTTTAATTCATAATTGAGAGATAGACTATTATTCTGTATGATTTCATTTTGAAAATTTCAATTTGGGCTCTTTTTTATTATTCTGTTTCTTTGCTAAGAGTCTCTGTCCTTATATTCATTATAAAGATATTTTTATTTACTTCCCTGAGCAGAGTTAAAATAGCTCCTTTAATGCCTTTGCCTAATAATCTAAACATCTGAACAGCTATGTCATGTTAAGATTGATCTCTGTTGATTATATTCCCCTTAAAAAAAATGGACCATGGCCATGTTTTCTTGTTTTATTGAGTGATTTTGGATTTTACCCTGGACATTTTAACTGTTATGTTGTGAAGACTCTAGATTCTGATAGATTTTCTAAAGAGTTGATTTTGATATGATTTTATTTGCTTGGTTTTTCTTTGTCCGTTTTTTTGTTTTTGTTTTTGTTTTTTCAGTATTTGGCTGGGGCTAGGTTTGAACCCACCACCTCTGGTATAAGGGGCCAGTGCCCTACTCCTTGACCCACAGGCACCACCCTCATTGTTTGTTTTTTTAATCAAGTACATCATTTGGTTGGTCTCAGATTGTACAGTGTGAATCTCCTGAGATGGCAACATTCCAGATTTCAGTTCTTTTAGACTTAGCTATGTTATTCTGAGCCTACCAGGCATATGTGTAGTTAAGCCACAGAAGTGACAAAAGTTTATGGAGAGAATTTTGTACACCCTCTGTTTCCTTTCCAGTTCTCACATTTCTCCTGAACTCTATCCTCTGGGTCTTCAGAGAAGAAATACTACAAGTTTTCTATCAAGTTTTAGCCACTCTGTATAGGGTCATCTTTTTTTGATCCACAGGCAAACAGATGGAAAAAGGGTCCTGGGTCTTGTTCCTCCAAATTTCAAGTACCCCCTGGAGTCCAACTGTTTTTGTTTGTTCTTCTATACCTCCTACTTGTTGCTTTGGATTTTTTTTGTATTTTTTTTCAGAATTTGTAATTATTTTCTGTGGCAGGGTTGGATCTGGTAGAGCTACTTAAATATAGCCATATCTATAGCTCTCTGGAGTACAAACATTACAACTTTAAAATAAACTTTGTGAATGTGAAATTTTCTGTGGTGTGTATTCTGGTGGGTTGTTACAAGAAAATGATGTAAATAATCAATCTAGTTAATAAAGCTGAGCTTGCCATAGTGCAGGGAGAATGAGGACCGGAGACCCCATTCTTAGCAAAGGAAAGCACCCCCAGAAAAAGAGGAAAATTAAAAAGTAAGCCGAGTGAGTCAGAACAAAGAAAAGTCAGCTAGTTTACATTAAAGCTAGCCATTGCTAGCAAGCTTCCTGCCTTTTCTGAAATTCTAGCCTGTTGGGGATACAGATTACAAACACCTCTGCTGAGTCTGTGAGCACTCTGAGGAAAAATGGTCAGAGAAGAGGCTATGACAAGACCTTGAAAGATACTGGGTTATCTCTTGCCTAGTAAACAGGCAAAGCAGATACCCATTGTGGAGACTTGCATTTGCCTGGGGCAGAAATCAAGGGAGTAGCTCAAGCTCTGAGATAAGGGCAGAAGAGCTTACATCCCTTATCACAGAAAAAGATCCTCTGTGGTGGTCATGGGAGGAAAATTCCTCCCTCTCACAGATTCCTCAGAGGAGATTAATGCCACAGGGAATGAACAGAGTCTAACACCTCCCTAGAAATCTGTGTGTGTGCTCTCAAGGGGGAGGCTCTCCCAAGACAAGGCTCAGATTTCAGATTTCTCAAGGCTACCCTTAAGGTCTATAATAATAACAATAGGAGCTGATATGCTCACTCAGAAACTGCTGACATCTTTATTCCCTCACTCATCTTACCCTCTGGGCAAATAGATTTCAATAAAAGCAGAGTGAAGCAAATACTCAGAGCCATTGCCAGAATCCCACGAATGGGCAATGGACCCCTGAGCTCCCATTTTTAATTCTATTCTATATCTCATGTCTCTTTCTTTACTGTTGTTTCTAACTCTATATTTCTTCAGTCAGTTGCCATCAGTTTCCACAGGTCTTAACAGACCCTGCCCCACGGGCAGAACCCCCACACCAAAGATAGCCTGTCTATAAACTATTTAAAATAAAAAAAATATATAATTTTTCAAAAGATCGTGAAAGTATGAAATAAATAGAAAAATAATTACTTAGTAATTCATATTATAAATTAAGGATATTTGAAGGAAGAATAAGTGGCATTACAGAAACCATAAGGTGAGAAGTAAATAAAAAGTGACCTTGAGTCTTACTCATTGCAGATAAAGACATTAGACCTCAGTACCCATTTTCTCCCTTAAGGTCTGATCTGAGTTTGGAAAGGCTCTCCTCCATTTGGTGACTCAGGGACATGCAGCTTGCATAACCTTTGCTACAGTGATAGAGAGAGCCAAAGAGTTACACACAGGCTTTTTAT